AGTCCACGGTATGAGAAACACTACAGTGGGATGTAGGAAGTTCCCACTCAGCTCACCCCCCCCCCAGAGACTGCCCTTGATTTGATTGCCGGCGGCCGTCGCACCGGGGTATGCTTCGGTTAAGGCAGCTCGCCAGTGCCATCTTGAAGGACAGCTGCTCACAGAGGGGCTGGAAGAAAGCCAAGACATTGTAGCGAAGCCTTCGGGGGTACTCAGCAATGGCAGGGGAGAAAGTGCGCGTCAAATGGGTGGTGAACTGCACGGGGGAGCCGGTGACATTCACCGGTAAGAAAACACCCCGCAGACTTGTTAATGCAGAGGCAGTTCACTTTCTTCACTAGGAACACAGAGCTATGGGCGAGCTGGGAAATCGGAAGGCAACTGAAACACCTTGGTGTGCGGTGCACTGCGAGGACTGACTTGAGTTTCCCCCGTTGTCCAGCGAATGACTCTTCAGAATCCTTGTTGGACGTAAACTCTACCATCGGGGAGGTGAAGAACAGCGTGTTCGCACAAGAAATCGCTAGAGGTACTCATACCGGCATCGGAAGGAACCACAACGTCTCCCCCTGATCCTTTTGGCCCGCGGCACACAGCGGTTCAGTTTTTTGTGCGAAATGCTAGATGCTTTGTTATTCGCGTTATGTTTCAGGGCTTAGCGTGCGAGTGATCTTCTTGGGCCGCGAATTGGCAGAAAACGACAGTCTCGCCTCTCACCTTCGCGTGCCTGCACGAGCAGCTGCCGCGGGCTCTTGCGCAACATCTTCAGCGGATGCGGACAATGCCACGGGAGTCACTCTCCATGCAGTTCTTTCAAATCGTCCACCAAACGTCAGGGGCAATGGACCGGGTGGTTGCAGCAACGCTGGTGGGTTAAAGACTTGCTCTTTCTTTGCCCCTTTCCTTTGCCAGTGGCGCAGTGAATCTACTTGGGAATATGGTGATCACTCCGGCGCGAGCCCATTGGCTGCAGCGCTCTTGTGGATTGTGTGTGCGTGCACAGCTGCGTTGGTGCAGCGCTGTCAAAGTTTGTTTGTATGGGGTGCTCACAGCAATTCGGATCTCTCTGCTTGTGTGTGCAGGTGGAGGGAATTCGGAAAATGGCGACTGGTCTGTTGTAGTCCTCGGTGTGACAGTATTTGTCATCTTGTGCGTTTGCTGGTATCACCGTCTTGCCTTCCCTGGCGATTTCACGCCCTTCTCGTCCCTCTTGCTGGTTCTCTTCACGGGCTTCTTTGCGTTTACTATTCGCGGCGTCGTCATTCGCCTTCTGAAGCTTGCCTACGGCTGTCTCCGTCGTCCGTGGGAGGGTACTGACACATCAGCTCAGCCAACAAGACCAGATGCCACAGCACCAGTATTTCAGGAAATTCCGGCCCGGCCGTTAACCTGATACCGGAGGGAAGGTGACAAGGGACTCGTGCACAAGCCACACGCTAGCTTTGGAGTTGCGCGGCAAGGCGCATCGCTGCGACTTCATTAAGAATATGGCTTTGCGTTGCAGCGGAAGCAGGCAATTTGGCAGGGTCATTTGCTGCATACCGGGCAGCGTATGCGCGGGTGCAGGTTTCATGAACCTCGTTACCTAAACCATTACAACCTCGTTACCTAAACCATTACAGCGTGCGTTTGGTTGTAGCTTCGTTCACGAGACGTTCGGGCCACACGAGATTGCCTCCATATGAGGCATGCTGGACTGCTGCAATTCAACTGCAAAGTAGTATCTGCTCAGTGAGCTACAGGCCAAAGCGATAACGCAGCTGCAACACCAGCCATCGCAGTGGCTGTGATTACCATTACCGCCTAGTCGTCTAGCACATGCGGAGTTGCCGAGCTTCCTGTTGTTCCAAACAGCTGTTTACGCAGACACACCTGGCCTGTATTTGGTTACCGCTCAACGCGATAGCTGACAGTACAGGGACAGCGGGTATCCCGACCACGTACATGCAAGACACGGAAGTCGCTGGCTTGTGATGGGAGCTCCTGGCAAGCCGAGCAAAAGACGCAGTAAAAAACTGACACATATTCCCACGAGTCACTAGAGAACACACGCTGGGCGACTTGAGACGTATCGTAAAGTGAGGTTATATCCTCTGCTGCTTCGAGCAAGGGGACTCCCTCCCGCTGAATGGCATGCTCTCTCTACCCTCTTCATCACCGGGCATACTGCTGCACCGCTAAGCGGCGGCCTCTGGCTGTGCGAGGACTCCACTCCAGACTTGCCACTCGTCCTCCCGGTTTACACTGGTCTACAGTAACAGATGAGATGACCCGCGGGGCAAGACCTGGATGGTCCAGCCAGTCCAATGAACTAAAGCTTGTGCTGCGTTTGTCCGGTTGAAATTCCCCGTTCTTCAGTCCCGTTCTGGCGGTGTCCGCAGCGCGCCGAATGTCGAGGCACGATTAGGGCCTCGGATGGCACGGCCTCTGTGCCTTTCCGACTGGTATTCGTTTCTGCAGGACACGAAGAATACCCCCACAAATAAGTGGTGATGAGAGGCTATGCGTGCACATGGTTGGCTCTAAAGCATTGAATTGATCCTCTGGCATCCCTTGGCCGTCAAATTCGCAGACTCGTTACACTGGGCAACGAGTCGTGGGCTTCTCACGTACCACGCATACCTCGCACACCACATTCTGCGTGCTGGCTCACTGAATTGCGTTAACGAGGGCCAGGAACTCATCTAGACGAGTGTACTTTTCATCCGGACTAAAGACATCAAGGGCTTCGACTGCCAGCGCCTCTGCCTCTTGGCGTGCAAGCGTATCTGCAGGCACAGGGCTTCGGGGGCACTTCTCCTGAATTGTTTCCAAGGAAACCGCGGAAGCGAATGCTGGGCAACTTGCAAATGAACGGTCCACAACCCGCGAAGCAGCTCTGAGAACTTGCTCGTGACTGAGAGTGTATTGGGCACGCAGCAGCACATCAACCAGCTAAGCCTATAGGGTGGCAGTCTAATTTCTTCATTCGAGCTTGTGGCATGCACGCATGTGTCAGAGTCGAGGAGCTATTGTCTGGTACGAATATCCTCAACGTGGTGACCATACGTTTGGTTGTGAGCCTCCCATGTAGTCAAGTATACTTCTAGGGACCTCACCGTCTTTGTTCCTTGCGATTCCTGTGGTAGAACTCCAGAAACATCCGCCTGGTTGGTTCGTCTAGTTTGGTTTGCGGGTCTGGACTCGGCGGGTTCACGACCGAGACGCAGTTGTCTGATTGCGTCGAATAATGGCCCTGCGGGTGGCGCCTGCGAGATACTGCGGACTTCAACTGACTTTCGCCAAGAGCAGCTGAAGTAATCGTAGTGGACAGCTTTCGCGCGACGTGCCATCGCGCGTCTTCTGCGTTGATGCGGTCCGGCAGCGAATGTGTCAGTAATCTGCTCCTCGTTCGACGCCCTTTTTGGCTACTTTGCCCTGAAGTTGTTTCAAAGCTTCGTCCCATACGATTCGGCGCATGAAACAACGAAGCAGAAAAACAGCTCTCACTCAACATCCACGGCGGCGGCGACTCCAACGGGGAGACGACATTCGATGCACAACTTTCGCTGTTGCTCAGGGTTCCACTGCCAATTGAATCACAATCAGACTGCTCGCAAGGCGAACTGCTGGAACTGACGAGAGGCGGTGGGGTCTCCCGTTCACGGGGTTCTCTGTCCGCACTGGCCAAGTGCATGACGAGCCCGCGTGCAGGTGACCCCAGCGAAGGGCGCGAGCATTGGGAACCCATTTCTGCGCCAGGATGACAACGCAGGCGGGCCACTGTACAGGCTTTTCATGTCTGTTCGTCGGCTGGCTGAGGCAACAGACGCACACGTCCCGTGCAGCCCAACTGTTTAGCGCTCCCTGTAAAACCTTATGCTTTAGCTGTTTCCGAGCCTTCCAATAACGGCTACTAATGATTTAGCGCTCAGAAGGTCCTCTTCCCAGCTGCTTCAATCAGCCCCCCTACGGTAGCCCAGATCGGCGCGCATACTCAGTGCCAGCAGGGAGGTAGCTCTTCGGGACAAGTAAGGAGAATCGGAGATAAAAGCAGAGCAAGCAAGAATAAAGAAGGGAATTATACGATCGAAAAGGAAAGGCTCCACTGTGTAGCCCACTATGATCTCACGGACTTTCCGATGTCCATCAGGCCCCGTAGGCTACCAAAACATGCTATTGCCACTTATCGCCACATGCAACTTTTAGTGCAATTCAACTTACTTGAGTCTAGTTTAGGGAGGACTGAGCATTTTCAAAACAGATTATTTCCCCCTGTTGTGGACCATTGGTCACCGGGCGGCCTGGCCTTGCTTACCGGTAGGGTATAAACAACTGCAAACCCGCAACTGTACAGTCCGTAAAGCAGTTGATTTTACTGCTCTGTGATTCTCCTCGTTGGTCCGCCTTTGTCTTCCCAGGTTCGAGGACATCTGATGAAGGCGGACGGCAAACAGGGCAGTCATGGGCATCTGACAGCTATAGGTGCTCGTGGATCCCGAGGAGAACAAAGGTGCGCCCAATGATGCGAATTAAGAACATGCGAGGGTTTCATGTAGATTTCTTAGAGAAGGTGCATTAAGTTCCTGCCATATTCCATGGAGGACTTCGCCGCGGGCCACTGGGTGCATTGCGAATTCGCCTCTTGGTGGCACCTATGTTACCATCCCTTCTGGGAAGCAAATCTCAAGCAGTAGTGATCATAGTTCAGTTGGCGATCACACTGAAACAGTGTCATCCCACTATCTCACATGGGATAGTTGAGTGCCTTAGCTACACCGCGCAACGCAAAAGTGACCCTCTATGCACATAAACGCAGCATATCTGTCCGTATGCGTTCCTAAGGAAGGCGAGCCACGAAACGCGGCATCATCAGGGCAACTATCTCAAAACCGTACTATTCATTCACAAGTGCTTCAGGGCGCTACTTCCGAGCAAAGTGCTTTTGGATATGCTATTCGTAAACTCCCCCCACTAAGGCTGCACAGTAATAATGCGCACAATAAAAGGAACCTGATAGTTAATGTTCGTATAGCTGCATGGTGCGAAGGACCGACCGGGCCCTTCCGACATGCTGGTAACGTGAACAGGTAACAGCCGAGATGCTACTCGACTTCGTGGCTTACGCACAAGAAAACCCGAAGAACTGAAAACACACCACAGCATGTAGCTAGAGGCAGCCACGACGATAACGCGCAGAAGCCAACGAATCTTATGGCCTACAGGAGGTAACGGCGGCCTCCACAAGTAGCGCAGCTTCCACGATCACAAATAGGCGAGGCTTACAAAGCGCAGATGTGCGGAAGCGCGAAAAGGGAAATATATGCAACGATCTGGCGCGCTACAGATGGCTCAGCCCATCCTGACACGGTCCGAACCAGCGGCTCAAGACTTACGGCCAGCTGCCGACGCTGCACAACTGTGAATACTGCATGGAACACAACACAGCCACTGCACACCGCGTATTGAATTGCCTTCGACTGCACGGCAAACAACAGCTGCAGGTTTTGCGCGGTCAGCGCCTAATGAACGGGCCCGCTTTCTTCAGGCATTTTTAGCTTGAATCTGTTCAGAGGTGCTGAGGAGGCCCCTTCCCAAACTGTACGGTGCTTCCGGGCTGCACTCGCGTATACACGCGCAAAGGCGCACGCACAAGTTCCTATGAGTGGATCTTCCTGCCTACCGTCACTTAACATCACTGCACAGTAACTTGCTGCGCTCCCATGGCCTCCTCACGAGGAGAGACTGTGCGTTTCCCGCGTCTGGAGTTGCCATTGGTGGTTGCTGTGCGGTGGGATTCAGCCCACTCCTCGAAATCCTGAGGAACGGACTTGCCAGTAGCCAGCATGTGGTCCTTGTACAGAGTCCAGCCGCCGTCCTCGGCCAGTACGGACAGCAGAGGGCCCCGATGCTGGCGGCGCCATGCCAGCCACGCTATGGTGGGCTGTCGGGCCTGAATGTACTCTGCGTATGTTTCGGGAATAGCCTTCTGGCCAGCAAATGCAGCGCGGTACAGCCGCCAGCCCAAAGGATCACTAAGAATCGTGTAGCGAGGACCTGGATGAAGCTTCTTCCACGCTAGCCACTCCCGCAATGCTTTCTTTCGGGCGCCTACTGAGTTCTGCCAGTCCTCGAACTGCTCGCACGGGGAGCCACTAATTGCCTGTTTCATTGCACTATAAAGTTTCCACCCCTCCGGGTCCTGCAACACTTCCAGCATAGGCCCTCTGTTTTTCCTACGCCACAAAGCCCAGTTCATCGTCGCTTCCTGGCGCCTCCGCTGTGGCGAATCCATCCACTCTTCGTACGACATCGGAACATGGGACCCTGATGACTGCAGCTTCTTCACGTACAATTCCCAGCCTTCTGGGTCTTTCAGCACTTCTGCTAGGGGTCCCGGATGACGCCGTCTCCACAGCTTCCACGTGTTCGCTTGGCTAATGCGCAGCCTAGAACTGGGCGTGCGCAGCCATTCCTCGTAAGTGGCGGGAAACGCCTCGCCACGAACTTCAGCCAGAGCCTGTCTAAGAGCAAACACCTCAACCCGGCGAGGCGCACCCCAGCGAGACGAAGACCGCCAGGCAGCCTGAGCCGCCACCAGTGACTCAGCCGCTTCTGACTCCCACTCTTTGAATGTTGTTGGTAGATGAGTCCCTATGGCTTCTACAAATGCCCGGAAGAGCTTCCACCCCTCCTCCTCCGAGCATAGCAACTGCATGAGCGGCTGCTGCGACCGTTGCTCCCTCCACTCGACCCAATGTGTTGCTGCAACAATTACACGCTGTTCCGGCATCTGCAGCCACTCCGAATACGTTGCGGGTATCTGCACCCCTCTAGCATGCATGAGGGCAGAGTATAGCTTCCATCCCTCAGGATCTTTCAACACATTCACGGGGTTACCGTGGTGCTCCTCACGCCACGCTGACCACGCCTTCGATGCTGCCTCGAGAGCTCTAAATCCTTCGTAGGTTTCGGGAAGGGGGCGCCTGGGTTTGCTCATGGCAGCTCTGTACAGTTCCCACCCCTCGGGGTTCTGCAGGAGCTCAGTGAGATCCGTGGAATGCTGTCCCCCCAGCCAAGACAGCCACGCATCCATTGCCGCACTTTGCTGCTTACCTTTCTGTGGGCCGCTGCCTGTCATCCTGTTCCTACTATTACCCGCATTGGCGCCTCTTTTCGACTCAGACTCGCTACTGCCAGAGAGCTGCTTGTCCTTTTTACCAGCGTTGCGCTGCTGCTGCGGAAGCTGCAGCCACTCCTCGTAGCTCGCTGGCAACTCCTCCTTATTGCCGTTCTTCTGTTGCTGCTGCTCGAGGTCACTCCTGTACAACCGCCAGCCACAGGGGTCCGCCAGCACACGAACCAAAGGACCAGGGTGCTCGCGCCGCCACGCCTGCCACGATGCATTTGTTCTTCTTTCCTTCCACTCCTCGTATGTCGGGTCGGCTTGCTTCCCAGATGACTCCAGCATGTGTCTGTACAGCTGGTAGCCCTCAGGGTCCACTAATACCTTCCTCAAAGCACCAGGGTGCGCCCTTCTCCACGTTGTCCAGGCTTCCATCGCCATCGCCTTTATAGTGTTGGGGTCTCGACACCATTCTTCGTGTGTCTCGGGCAATTTTGTATCCTGTGATGCACGTTTGGCTTTGTATAGGGCCCATCCCTCTGGGTCAGCAAGCACCTCTGTAAGAGGGCCTGGGTGCTGGCGACGCCATTGCACCCACGCTTCATATGCAATGCTCCTTCTTTGGTCTTGATGCTGCAGCCACTCTTCGTAGGTTGGGGGCACACTAACGCCCTTCTCTTGCTTCATCGCGTAGAAGAGCGCCCAGCCTTCCGGGTCCGCTAGGACCTCCCGCAGTGGCTTGGGATGAGCTCGCTTCCATTCAACCCAGCGCTGTGTACATTTCGTCATCTCGAGCCATTCTTCATAGCTATTTACTCCGGCTTTTGCAGTCCCGTTGTGCTGCAGCATATCCTTGTAAAGGCGCCAAGCTCCAGGGTTTTTCAGTGCCTCTTCCAATGGCATTCTGTGCTTCGACCGCCATGCACGCCAAGCTCTCAGTGTGGCCAACGCCTGCTCGGACTTCCGTGGCCTGGATTCTGTCATCTTTGCTTCCCCGTCCATCCCGGTCGGTAGGCTTATATGAATACACCCTGAAGGGCACTTGTCTAGGTGCATACACAGCTAGAAAGGGGAAAAGAGAACCCAGAGAAACTTCCAAAGTTTCGCAGACTGAAATAGAAGCGGCCGTAAGCACCTCCACTGGTACAGGCTTCGTCCTAATCAGAATGACACCTGTGCCGGCACTCCCTACCACGGCCACGCGAAGGGTTGAGTGAAGGCGGCACTCAAGGAGAGTCCCGGATTCCGCCTAAGCTCTGTATATAAAAGGCAGCTGCCTCGACCTGCCTGAAAGCGTACTCTATCAAGGAAGAATCACTCAAGAAACCCTCCTGGTGGTGGCGAGTGCGCAGCATCCGGTCAGTGGCCGGGGCAACGGAAGCAGCGAAACGAAGTAAACAGAGCAAATAAATTGGCTAAAGAATGCGGCACACTGTAAATCCACACCACTCTTTTCTAAAAAAGAGTCATATAAGCTATGACGGCCACCAGACACCTCAGCCAGGTAGCCGACAAAGATGCAATCAGTGGCCACGCTACTCTGAGCGAAGCACTGTGGTTGGAAATGGAAAGTCCCAGCTCCAGCAAGACTAGAATGTTTGCTTAGCTGATAAACACGAATATTTGGATGACCTCGTGCCAATCACCTGACACTCTACGCCTGCTCACGGCTGCTGCGTTTGCCAGCTGGAACTGACACGCGGCCCTCGTCCGCGGGACGGTGGCAGTGGCCCCGCCTGAAGCAACAGCAGCCCGGAGCATGCAGCATTTGTGGAGTGGAGCACCACCTTCTATTGTATGATTTACTCAATTTATTCATTAAACGGTGTTAAATTGGCCTCCTCATTCGCTGCGGCCTACCATCTACTTAGCATCTCTACGCCGCAGTTTGTTTGTTCACTTACCGGTGGGGCGTTAAGCGCTGCCCGGCTATGGATGCGCAGAGGCCTAGCCCGACGTTGGTCTTAGTTATTTTTCCCCTTGGTACGCAGAAGCTTCTCAACACTAGTCTCTGCATCTACCCGAAAGCACAACGGAGCTACAAAGCACAAGAGTAGACTACGCCCGTTGACAGATGCTAGCCGTGCAACTCCCACAACATTCCTTGGGCTCAGTGCCGGGCCATCGAGAGCTACAAAATAACAAACGCATTCAGTCTAATGTTTATCTTCCAGAGCATCTGGCTTGCCCTTCTGTCTCTAGGCGTCCTGGGCAGAGCGGCGCATTGTGTACAGCTTGGTTTGTCCGAAGTTCACGCGCGTTTGCTTGGCTTCAGTAGGCAGCCTGCGGACAAACAAAAGTACAAAAGTACACAAGTACTGAAAGCTCAGACAGCAAGAGGAAGTTTGCTTGTGCTTGCTTGTGAAGGTGCCCTTAGTTGCAAGATAGTGACTTGCCAATCACCTCACCCCGCCTCCTCTCCCCCGTCCCCCAGCCTTTGGGCTTCTTTTCCCCGAGCCTCTAAAGGCTAGAGGGTGGTTCTCTACTTATTAGGAACTCTCCTTAAGTTTATTGGCTCAATCGCAGCTCGTCGGTAAGATTGCCAACACCAGTTACACAAGGCAGCACCGCATGGTTGTCGGGACAGGCCAGAGCACGAATTCCTACACAGCAGAAGAGCAGCCCGCTGCATAGCAGTGACTAGTACCGGATGTCCCTTGCAAGCACAAAACAGGTTCTAGAAACTCTCTCAAAATCTCCTTCAAAACAGCCCGTTCCTCCTCGTGTATTCTTAAGATTTATCAGGATCTGCTCTGGTGGGGACGCGACCGCACGATGAGAGTCTCTTTGCATTGACACCAGTTCAATTTCTCAATTCCACCCATTGGAAAATGCGTATACGGTAATCACAATTCTTGAAGAATGCCGCTGCCTTGCCCAACCGTCCAGATATGGCGTACGCCGAGGGGGCAGCGGAGGAGTTTCTTGCTTCTTTAGAGTTGTATTTCCCTCTCCCAATGCTCGGAAAAGTCTGAACTCGCTGTTGGCATCTTTGTTATGCGTGCATTGTTATTGTACAAGGTTGGACCAACTTTCCGGAGCATAGCAGGGCTGAGCCAGCCTACAGAGACGCTGCGATGTAAGTTTATTAGTACGTCGTTATGGGGGCAGGCTAAGGCGAAGGTGAGGATGCATAAACCAGGGTAATTATCGAAAGAGTGCTACCTGGAAAAACATCACGCCTTGGTATACAGAAATCCAACAGTGGTC